CAGTCGTTCCCGGTCACCCGCCTCGTGGCCTCTCCCTCCCTGCTCACCATCCTAGCGGCAGCAACAGCGGCAGAAATGGCAGCAATCCCAGCAACACATGGAGCAGCAGCAGCAGCAGCAGCAGCAGCAGCAGCAGCAGCAGCAGCGGCAGCAGCAGCAGCAGCAGACAACTTAGCTGGTGCAGCAGGGGCAGCAGCAGGGGCAGCAGCAGGGGCAGCAGCAGGGGCAGCAGCAGAGGCAGCAGAAGCAGCTGAGGCGAGGGTGTCTGATATTGGAGGGCGCAGTGGCATGTTGAATCTGCGGGTGGTGGCGAGCAGTGGAGAGCCGTTGACGATGGCTCTTGTGCACCAATTGCAACCCCTTCTGCACCCCTCATGCCGCCTCCTTAACCTCTACGGCTCTACTGAGGTGACGTGCACCCATGCCCATGCTCCCACTGACGCCCCACTGACGTGCACCCATGCCCATGCGCCCACTGACGTGCGCCCATGCCCATGCGCCCACTGACGTGCGCCCATGCCCATGCGCCCACTGACGTGCGCCCATGCCTTCACTGAGGTGGTCAGCCCATGAGGTTCTGGGGGCATATAATGTAATGTGCATGTCGTGGTCATTCACGGGGGGGCTGCAGCTCTTGAGGCGCCTTAAAACGCTACTCCGTGGACGGGTGGCCAATGCATACGCTGCCCATGCCCATGCCCATGCCCATGCCCATGCCCATGCCCATGCACATGCCCATGCCCATGCACACGCCCATGCACATGCCCATGCACATGCCCATGCCCATGCCCATGCCCATGCCCATGCCCATGCCCATGCCCATGCCCATGCCCATGCCCATGCCCATGCCGGCCCCTGGGTCCCATTTCCCCATTCTTGGTGTTCACCCTGCAGGTGTCGGGTGACTGCCTCTTCTTCGATGCCTCATCGCTGCTCTCCCACCACCGCCACTCTGCCACGCCCTCCCTCTCCTCGCCCCCGCCTCCACCCACCTCACCTCAAACCAACACCACTAGTGGCAGCAGCATCAGCAGCAGCAGCAGCAGCAGCATCAACAGCAGCAGCAGCAGCATCAGCAGCAGCAGCAGCAGCAGCATGGGTGCAGTGGTGCCGGTGGGGGTGCCCCTACCACACACGTGGGCAGCAGTGCTGGACCCACACACGCTGCACCCGCTCCCACCCGGCTGCATGGGCGAGCTCTATGTGGCTGGCATGGGGCTCGCTGCAGGCTATCTGGACAACTTGCTCACAGCGGGGAGAGGAGCCGCACAACCACCCCATTGCTCTGCTGCTGCTGCTGCTGCTGCTGCTGACGCCGCTGCTCCTGCTTCTAATGCTCCTGCTTCTGCCTCTGCTACTCCTGCTGCTCCTGGTCCTGCACCTGCTGATTTGCCTTCCGGCCCTCTGGCGGCGTTCGTCCCCGTCCCACCGCATCTCACGGCCTCGGTGCGCGCTGCACTGCTCAGTCCCTTCGGAGGCACTGCTGTGGGCTCCGCACAGGGCGAGGGTGCAGGGGGAAGGGTGAATGGCGGAGGAGAAGGGAGCGGCACGTGCGAGTGGGAGGGGAGCAGGGAGTTGGCGGGTGGATGCGCCAAGGGGGATGGTCCACAGGAAGGTCCACAGGTTGTTTTTGAGAATTCTCAAAAAGGTCCCGTGGTGATGTACCGCACTGGTGATGCTGCTGCGTTCCTGCCATGCCCCTCCTCCTCACACCCCATGCGTCACCACCACCCAGTGCACAAGGGGCAAGAGGGGCGAGAGGGGCGAGAGGGGCGAGAGGGGCAAGGGGGCAGTGTGGAGAATGATGGGCGTGAGGGGCATGAGCAGGGGAGGGCGGGTGGGGTGTTTGTGGTGTATGGGCGGCAGCAGGGGGAGAGCGTGGTGAAGGTGGGGGGGCGCAGGGTGCATCTGGGGGAGGTGGAGGCTGCCCTGCAGCTCCACCCTGCTGTCGCCCGCGCTGCTGTCAAACTCTGCCCGCTCCATCACCATCCTCCTCGTTCCCCTCTTCTTTCCGACCCTTCTCCTCATCCTTCATCTCCCATACTGCCTTTGCCCCTCATTGAGTCTTCCTCTTCCTCCCTTAGCGTGCCTACTTTTGAGGCGCCTCAAAAGTCCTCCCTTAGCGTGCCTCAGCTGGTGGCGTTTGTGCAGTGGAAGCAGGGGGAGCAGAGCGAAGGGAGCAAGGAGAGCGAGGGGTGGAAGGGGAGGAAGGGAGGCAAAGAGAGGACGAGGAGGAGCAAGGAGCAGCGCAGGGCACATGCCCCACATGCGCCGCTGCATGCACAGCCGTACATGCAGCAACGCAATGAGGGCATGTGCACTGCGCGGGCACAGCAAGAGGCCTTGCTTGAGAGCCCTCAAAGCATGCTCACGGCACGGCGGCACGCACAGCCACCACAAGAGTCAAAGACTGAGACAGAAGTAGCTGTGGAGCCAGAAACAGCAGAAGCACCAACAGTGCCAGCGTCAAAAGCTACATATGAAGAGGGGGAGGATGAAGATGAGAGGGAAGAGGCGCCGATAGCAGCAGCACTGGAGTCGCAGCTGCTTGCATGGGCGCGGCAGCAACTGCCAGCCGCTCTAATTCCTGCTCGTGTCGTCTCCCTGCCTGCCCTGCCGCTCTCTGCCACTGGTAAGGTCGACCTCTCCGCCCTGGCCCTGCCATTCCCCACAGCCACAGTCACAGACGGCAGGAGCACGGAACAGGGAATGGATGAGCGAGGGTCGAGAGAAGTGCTGGTGGTGGTGGCACAGCAGGGAGCTGAGCAGCAGCGTGGGTGGGACGGTGGTGCGGCAGCAGGGAGTATCAGGGCAACAACAGTAGCAGCAGCAGCAGCAGCAGCAGGAGGAGGGATGTCAGGAGGCAGCAGCGTTACTCTGGCGCGCATACAGGAGGCAGTGGCCTGCTCGCTGCAGATACCACCTTCGCTGGTGGCACCTGACTCCGATTTCTTCTCCCTGGGTGCGTCGTCCCTCTCCCTGGCCCTGGTTGCTCTCCGCCTGGGCGTCACCCTCCCATTGCTGCTCGCTTTCCCCTCGCCTCTGCGCCTCATGAACGCGCTGAGGGGGGAAGGAGGTCATGGTGGAGGGAGAATAGAAGTGAGAACAGAGGAAGGAAGAACAGAGGAAGGGAGAACAGAGGAAGGGAGAACAGAGGAAGGGAGAACAGAGGAAGGGAGAACAGAGGAAGGGAGAACAGAGGAAGGGAGAACAGAGGAAGGGAGAACAGAGGAAGGGAGAACAGAGGAAGGGAGAACAGAGGAAGGGAGAACAGAGGAAGGGAGAACAGAGGTAGGGAGAACAGAGGAAGGGAGAACAGAGGAAGGGAGAACAGAGGAAGGGAGAACAGAGGAAGGGAGAACAGAGGTAGGGAGAACAGAGGAAAGGAGAATAGTCGACGGGAGAAATGTGGAAGGGAGAGAAGTGGAAGGGAGAATAGAGGAAGGGACAGAAGTGGAAGAAGGAGGCGATTGGAGAGGGGAGAGCAGAGGGGAAAGGGCAAATGGGAGAGGGGGCGTTGGAAGGGCAGAGGAAAGCCGCGCGAATGCAGGAGGGCGAGCAGGGAAGCGGAAGTGGGAGGAGATGGAAGGCGCTATGGGTGTCAGCTCTCCGGTGGCTGCTGTGGATAGGGACAGCACGATGCTGCGAGGTGCAGGCGCAGGCGGTGAGCAGGGGAGAGGAGCAGCAGCAGCAGCAGCAGCAGCAGCAGCAGCAGCAGCAGCAGCAGCAGCAGCAGCAGCAGCAGAAGCAGCAGAAGCAGTGCTGGTGAGTGTGACACGAGCAGGAGGCATAAGCGTGTGGGACAGTGTAGGCTTGCTGGTGTGGGAAAGTGGAGAGGGAAGCGTAGGTCTAGATAAAGGCTTGTCAGCAGCAGAAGATGCACCAGCAGCAGCAGCAGCAGCAGCAGCAGCAGCAGAAGCAGCCGTACTAACAGCACCAGAAGCAACAGCAGACGCAGCAGCAGGAACAGCAGCAGAGGGACCAACTGTCTCTGCTGCCACTAATGCCCCCTCTCCTGGTGCTGGCAGTGCGAGCAGTGGTGGCAGTGCTGCCAGTGGCAAGAGCAGGGGACACATAAGAGTGCAGTGGAGCGTGGGCACAGGAGCCTGTGTGGATGCATCGCCCCTCCTCGTGTGCTATAACGGCACATGGCTGTGTGTCATTGCGTCGCACTCTGCTGCTGTTATCTGCTGTGATCTCAGGTGCGTGCTGCACCCTGCCATACATGCTCTTCATGCCTTTCCCACCCACCTCCTTGCGCACCTCTCCCATACAAGCCATGCGCCTGCCTTCATTTCCTGCCAAGTTCCCTCTCTCTCTGGTCTTCCCTCCCCATCACACCCTCCCACCCCCACTCTCACTTCCCCTCACCCCGCCCTCACTCTCCCCCTCATTCCTCCCGTGCCCATCCCACCCACCCCATGCCCCCTATCCGTGTCTCCTGCTCTGGCCACCACAAACAACCGTGCAGGGGCAAGCAGGTGTGGCGCACAGCCGTGGGCGACAGGGTGGAGGCCAGTCCCGTTGCCATGCTGCTGCTGCCACCACGCCCAACAACTTCTGCCGGGGCGAGAGAAGAGAGGAGAGAAGACCAGGAAGGGGAAGGAGGGAGTAGAACGAGAGGGGTCGACGACAGCAACAGCAGTGAATCGTCTCTGGTGCGATGCATGTTTCCAGTGTTGGCTATACCTGCTGGGTAACCCGTCTTCGGCTCCTCGTGCACTGGAAAAGGCGTCCCTCTTCCGCCGGCACCCATCCCTCCTTCCACAGGCTTTTTTCGAGAATGTAGCAGATTGCCTCCCTCTGTTTCACCTGCACCGACCTGCACTCTCTCTCAGCCTGCCCACCACTCTTATCCCACGACGCCTTCCCTGCCCTCCCTGCCCTTGCAAAGTGTCTCTCGCGTCCCTGTCCTTCCCTGCCTGTGTTCTCCTTCTCTCCCCCACGCCACGTGGCAGGTGGTTGTTGGGTGCTACGATGGTGCACTCTACTTGCTCCGCCTATGTGACGGGTCGCTGTATTGGAAGTACCAAACACAACACCAGGTTGCCACTCTGCACGTCCCCTCGCCCACACGCCCTCCTGCCCACACGCCCTCCTGCCCACACGCCCTCCTGCCCACACGCCCTCCTGCCCACACGCCCTCCTGCCCACACGCCCTCCTGCCCACACGCCCTCCTGCCCACACGCCCTCCTGCCCACACGCCCTCCTGCCCACACGCCCTCCTGCCCACACGCCCTCCTGCCCACACGCCCTCCTGCCCACACGCCCTCCTGCCCACACGCCCTCCTGCCCACACGCCCTCCTGCCCACACGCCCTCCTGCCCACACGCCCTCCTGCCCACACGCCCTCCTGCCCACACGCCCTCCTGCCCACACGCCCTCCTGCCCACACGCCCTCCTGCCCACACGCCCTCCTGCCCACACGCCCTCCTGCCCACACGCCCTCCTGCCCACACGCCCTCCTGCCCACACGCCCTCCTGCCCACACGCCCTCCTGCCCACACGCCCTCCTGCCCACACGCCCTCCTGCCCACACGCCCTCCTGCCCACACGCCCTCCTGCCCACACGCCCTCCTGCCCACACGCCCTCCTGCCCACACGCCCTCCTGCCCACACGCCCTCCTGCCCACACGCCCTCCTGCCCACACGCCCTCCTGCCCACACGCCCTCCTGCCCACACGCCCTCCTGCCCACACGCCCTCCTGCCCACACGCCCTCCTGCCCACACGCCCTCCTGCCCACACGCCCTCCTGCCCACACGCCCTCCTGCCCACACGCCCTCCTGCCCACACGCCCTCCTGCCCACACGCCCTCCTGCCCACACGCCCTCCTGCCCACACGCCCTCCTGCCCACACGCCCTCCTGCCCACACGCCCTCCTGCCCACACGCCCTCCTGCCCACACGCCCTCCTGCCCACACGCCCTCCTGCCCACACGCCCTCCTGCCCACACGCCCTCCTGCCCACACGCCCTCCTGCCCACACGCCCTCCTGCCCACACGCCCTCCTGCCCACACGCCCTCCTGCCCACACGCCCTCCTGCCCACACGCCCTCCTGCCCACACGCCCTCCTGCCCACACGCCCTCCTGCCCACACGCCCTCCTGCCCACACGCCCTCCTGCCCACACGCCCTCCTGCCCACACGCCCTCCTGCCCACACGCCCTCCTGCCCACACGCCCTCCTGCCCACACGCCCTCCTGCCCACACGCCCTCCTGCCCACACGCCCTCCTGCCCACACGCCCTCCTGCCCACACGCCCTCCTGCCCACACGCCCTCCTGCCCACACGCCCTCCTGCCCACACGCCCTCCTGCCCACACGCCCTCCTGCCCACACGCCCTCCTGCCCACACGCCCTCCTGCCCACACGCCCTCCTGCCCACACGCCCTCCTGCCCACACGCCCTCCTGCCCACACGCCCTCCTGCCCACACGCCCTCCTGCCCACACGCCCTCCTGCCCACACGCCCTCCTGCCCACACGCCCTCCTGCCCACACGCCCTCCTGCCCACACGCCCTCCTGCCCACACGCCCTCCTGCCCACACGCCCTCCTGCCCACACGCCCTCCTGCCCACACGCCCTCCTGCCCACACGCCCTCCTGCCCACACGCCCTCCTGCCCACACGCCCTCCTGCCCACACGCCCTCCTGCCCACACGCCCTCCTGCCCACACGCCCTCCTGCCCACACGCCCTCCTGCCCACACGCCCTCCTGCCCACACGCCCTCCTGCCCACACGCCCTCCTGCCCACACGCCCTCCTGCCCACACGCCCTCCTGCCCACACGCCCTCCTGCCCACACGCCCTCCTGCCCACACGCCCTCCTGCCCACACGCCCTCCTGCCCACACGCCCTCCTGCCCACACGCCCTCCTGCCCACACGCCCTCCTGCCCACACGCCCTCCTGCCCACACGCCCTCCTGCCCACACGCCCTCCTGCCCACACGCCCTCCTGCCCACACGCCCTCCTGCCCACACGCCCTCCTGCCCACACGCCCTCCTGCCCACACGCCCTCCTGCCCACACGCCCTCCTGCCCACACGCCCTCCTGCCCACACGCCCTCCTGCCCACACGCCCTCCTGCCCACACGCCCTCCTGCCCACACGCCCTCCTGCCCACACGCCCTCCTGCCCACACGCCCTCCTGCCCACACGCCCTCCTGCCCACACGCCCTCCTGCCCACACGCCCTCCTGCCCACACGCCCTCCTGCCCACACGCCCTCCTGCCCACACGCCCTCCTGCCCACACGCCCTCCTGCCCACACGCCCTCCTGCCCACACGCCCTCCTGCCCACACGCCCTCCTGCCCACACGCCCTCCTGCCCACACGCCCTCCTGCCCACACGCCCTCCTGCCCACACGCCCTCCTGCCCACACGCCCTCCTGCCCACACGCCCTCCTGCCCACACGCCCTCCTGCCCACACGCCCTCCTGCCCACACGCCCTCCTGCCCACACGCCCTCCTGCCCACACGCCCTCCTGCCCACACGCCCTCCTGCCCACACGCCCTCCTGCCCACACGCCCTCCTGCCCACACGCCCTCCTGCCCACACGCCCTCCTGCCCACACGCCCTCCTGCCCACACGCCCTCCTGCCCACACGCCCTCCTGCCCACACGCCCTCCTGCCCACACGCCCTCCTGCCCACACGCCCTCCTGCCCACACGCCCTCCTGCCCACACGCCCTCCTGCCCACACGCCCTCCTGCCCACACGCCCTCCTGCCCACACGCCCTCCTGCCCACACGCCCTCCTGCCCACACGCCCTCCCGCCCACACGCCCTCCCGCCCACACGCCCTCCCGCCCACACGCCCTCCCGCCCACACGCCCTCCCGCCCACACGCCCTCCCGCCCACACGCCCTCCCGCCCACACGCCCTCCCGCCCACACGCCCTCCCGCCCACACGCCCTCCCGCCCACACGCCCTCCCGCCCACACGCCCTCCCGCCCACACGCCCTCCCGCCCACACGCCCTCCCGCCCACACGCCCTCCCGCCCACACGCCCTCCCGCCCACACGCCCTCCCGCCCACACGCCCTCCCGCCCACACGCCCTCCCGCCCACACGCCCTCCCGCCCACACGCCCTCCCGCCCACACGCCCTCCCGCCCACACGCCCTCCCGCCCACACGCCCTCCCGCCCACACGCCCTCCCGCCCACACGCCCTCCCGCCCACACGCCCTCCCGCCCACACGCCCTCCCGCCCACACGCCCTCCCGCCCACACGCCCTCCCGCCCACACGCCCTCCCGCCCACACGCCCTCCCGCCCACACGCCCTCCCGCCCACACGCCCTCCCGCCCACACGCCCTCCCGCCCACACGCCCTCCCGCCCACACGCCCTCCCGCCCACACGCCCTCCCGCCCACACGCCCTCCCGCCCACACGCCCTCCCGCCCACACGCCCTCCCGCCCACACGCCCTCCCGCCCACACGCCCTCCCGCCCACACGCCCTCCCGCCCACACGCCCTCCCGCCCACACGCCCTCCCGCCCACACGCCCTCCCGCCCACACGCCCTCCCGCCCACACGCCCTCCCGCCCACACGCCCTCCCGCCCACACGCCCTCCCGCCCACACGCCCTCCCGCCCACACGCCCTCCCGCCCACACGCCCTCCCGCCCACACGCCCTCCCGCCCACACGCCCTCCCGCCCACACGCCCTCCCGCCCACACGCCCTCCCGCCCACACGCCCTCCCGCCCACACGCCCTCCCGCCCACACGCCCTCCCGCCCACACGCCCTCCCGCCCACACGCCCTCCCGCCCACACGCCCTCCCGCCCACACGCCCTCCCGCCCACACGCCCTCCCGCCCACACGCCCTCCCGCCCACACGCCCTCCCGCCCACACGCCCTCCCGCCCACACGCCCTCCCGCCCACACGCCCTCCCGCCCACACGCCCTCCCGCCCACACGCCCTCCCGCCCACACGCCCTCCCGCCCACACGCCCTCCCGCCCACACGCCCTCCCGCCCACACGCCCTCCCGCCCACACGCCCTCCCGCCCACACGCCCTCCCGCCCACACGCCCTCCCGCCCACACGCCCTCCCGCCCACACGCCCTCCCGCCCACACGCCCTCCCGCCCACACGCCCTCCCGCCCACACGCCCTCCCGCCCACACGCCCTCCCGCCCACACGCCCTCCCGCCCACACGCCCTCCCGCCCACACGCCCTCCCGCCCACACGCCCTCCCGCCCACACGCCCTCCCGCCCACACGCCCTCCCGCCCACACGCCCTCCCGCCCACACGCCCTCCCGCCCACACGCCCTCCCGCCCACACGCCCTCCCGCCCACACGCCCTCCCGCCCACACGCCCTCCCGCCCACACGCCCTCCCGCCCACACGCCCTCCCGCCCACACGCCCTCCCGCCCACACGCCCTCCCGCCCACACGCCCTCCCGCCCACACGCCCTCCCGCCCACACGCCCTCCCGCCCACACGCCCTCCCGCCCACACGCCCCCTCGCCCTCACGCTCACATGCCTACGCCCGAATGCCCCCACACGGGCATATCTGCACATCCCTATGCCCGCATGTCCGCCCGCACGATTTTGTCATCCATTATGCGATGCACATGGTCTAGCGTTTGTTCACAGCATCTTGACAGTTGCGGTGCTCATGGGAAACCTTGCTGTGCTGCTGTGGTGGTGTGCGCTCGCGTGTGTGTCGCGTGCGTGTGGGCATGTGGGCATGTGGGCATGTGTGAATGTGGGCATGTGTGGATGTGTGCATGTGGGTATGTGTTCATGCATGCATGCATGTGCAGGTCAAGTGCACGCCTCTGGTGGACCCGTGGCATCCTAACCTCCTCTGGTACACCCTCCCTCCCCCCTTGACTCTTCCGCCTGGAAACTTGCCTGGATTATTTGCAACCCTCCATCAAAGCCCTCTTTTTCAAACCTCCCCTCTGAAAGTTGCCCCTTTCTGTGCTCTGCCTGCCAAGTCTGCCCCATGTGGCTGTAAAAGCCAACTATGGCTTGAGAATCAAAGCTTTCCCCTTCAAGGAACGAGTTGAGAACCAACCAACACAACACATAGTAAATACTGCTGTTTTTCAAGCTTCAACCCCATCCCCCCCACCGCGTTCACTGCCTATGCTGATCTCATGTTTCAACAAGACTCTCATGTTTCAACAAGACTCTCATGTTTCAACGAGACTCTCTCTCACCAACAGCTTCTTCGTCTGCGCATCTATTCCCCATCCCCTCCCTCTTCTCCCCATCTCTGCCCCACCCCATCCCTGCTCGCCCTCACCCCGTTTTATCCGCACCCCTGCTCAGCCCCACCCAAAGTCATCCTTGATCTCTTCCCCCCACCATCCTTCCCCCGGGCAGGTGTGGATCCCATGATCGGCACGTGCATGTGCTGCATGTTGCCCTGCGCTGCTGCCTCTGCCGCCTCTCCCTCACTCCACCCGCTGCCTTCTTCGCCTCTCCTGTTGCCCATTTGGTGGGTTCAGGTAGTGCCTCTGCCATGCGATGCCATGCCATACCATGCCAAGCCATGCCATGCCATGCCATGCCATACCATACCATGCCATACCATACCATACCATACCATACCATACCATACCATACCATACCATACCATACCATACCATACCATACCATACCATACCATACCATACCATACCATACCATGCCATGCCATACCATACCATACCATACCATACCATACCATGCCATACCATACCATACCATACCATGCAATGCTGACTGCTGGTAAAACACATGCTTCCATTAGTAGTAGCCATGCATGTTGATGCACAAGCACAAGCTCCCTTCGTAACACCCTTCCCTCACTTATTCTTCCTCCCCACCATCCCTCCCCCTCCCTCTGCATTCACCCCTCCAAGTGCAGCCATCACAGCATGTCATCATAAGCACCACATCCCCACGCGGCACTGTCGCTGCGTGCCGTTTCTCACCCTCCTCCTCCTCGCCCTCCTCCCCCTCGTCCTCCTCCCCCGCGGCTTCCCCTACTCCTCCCCTTGCCCTCCGCACTGCCAGCGGGAGTAGCAGGGGGGTGGGGATTGGTGCTGGCAGTGGCACGGGGACGGGCAGGGGTGGGAGGAGCGGAGGGGAGGGAGGGGTGGCAGCAGATGGGTTGGCAGTGGTGTGGCAGCAGACAGTGGGAGCGCCCGTGTTCTCCACTCCTGCCTGTGTCCGCGGTGTGTCCACTCTCCCCGTCTCTTGCCTTCTCTCCTTGCACCCTCGCCACCTCTTGCCACCGTGCTAGACAGTTGCACTTGGAATGATATGTGTGACCCATATGCTTGGTTACGGTGTGTGGCATGTGTGGTGTGTGTGTGTGGCATGTGTGCTGTGGTGTGCAGAGCACGTGGTGGTTGCCACAGTGGCCGGGACTGTGGCAGGAATCAATGTGTCCTGTGGTCGCATAGACTGGCAGGTGACTTTTCTCATGCTCACACACTATGCATGCACTCATGCCCACACACACACACCCACTCACAAACCCACCCACTAGCACACACACACACACTCACACACACACACACACACACACACTCACACACACACACACCCCCCCCCCCCCCCCCCCCCACACACACACACACACCAGTGCGCTTGGTAAAGTTCAAGTCGATGCTCCGTTCAAGCAATGTCCCTACCCTACCCATCTATCTCTCCCTCCCTCCCTCCTGCCATCCACCCCTTCATCCTTCCACATGCTCTCAGCTACCCATGCTGATTCAAGGACTTATCGAAGCTCTGCTGCTTTTTGTGCACTCCTTTTTCCCGTCCCTGCCTTTCCCCGCTCCGTGGCTCTCTGCATCAGGTGGCAATGGGAGCGCCAGTGTTTGCACCCATCGCACACATGGGCAGTGCAAGGAGTGCATGGGCCGTGACACATGTGAGAGAGTTGGGGGGGGAGGGGGGGTGCGTTGGGGATTGAGCAATGGAGTGGGAGAGCCGTGGGAGGGGTGCTGGAGGGAGGCTGGAAAGGGCGAAGGGGTTAGGTATTCTTGTGAAGCTTGGTTGGCACTGCAATTCTGTTCGTGTTTGTGTGAGTGCGCGTGTGTGTAGCGTGTGTGCAGGCATGTGCATGCATCCCATGTGTTATTCGTGCAATCTATTTTCCTGCCTGTACCGTGAATCATGTTCCCATCCCTGCAGGTGCTGGTGGCTGTGCAGAATGGGGCAGTCCTTTGCATGCATGGGGTAAGGTGCCATGCATGTGTCGAAAGCATTGGTAACATGTGGCATCTCTGTATGACATGTCTGCATCAGAGAGTCATTACTGTCACATGCGTCATTTCATCTCATCATCATGTCCCCATAAGTCAAGTCAAGTTGTCTCACCATCCTTTCCACATGCTATGCATGCATCAGCATGCTCCCTGTCTAGAACTTCTCTCCTCTACGCTTCACCCTTGGCTTGGTTCTCCCTCCCAGGCCACAGGGCGTGTTAACTGGCGATGGCAAGTACCTTCTTCGAAACCTCCCACCCCGTCCATTGCCGCCGCTGTGTGTCCTGATGTGAGCTCTTTGTTTCCATTGCCTGAAGAAATGTCTGGGGCAATTCAACAGCTCGTTGAATTACACCCTAATGCAACGAGCCAAGAGCGTGCGACGCCTTCATCGCATTTCCGAGTGCTTGTTGCTACCACAATTGGTAGGCTCTTCGTTCTTTGTGTGCCTAATATGAGTCACAAGCATGGCGGCTCTCAGCTGGCACCTGCTGTTGGGCCTGTGGAATGGGAGAGAGGTGTGGATGATGGAATGGATATGCATGTCTATGTTGAAAGCAGCTTGGAGTTGCCTGGTGAAGTGTTCTCATCCCCGGTGCTAGTTGGAGGTTTAGCACTTGTGGGTTGCCGGGATAATAACCTGTATTGCATGAAAGTAGTGGAAGGTCGGGTGGTATGATTTGTACGCCTGACGCTTTGAACTTGCACATTTGTATTCACATCTGGAAATCTGTAGTTGTCTAGAAGTGGTACAAAGCTACAGTGTACACTTCACCCTACGACTGTATATAGCTTCCAATGTGGTCCCACTGCAGCTGCTGGCGTGTGTTATCGGAGTTGACGATGCCACCTTCACCTCCAAGCTCCTTTCTCCCGCAGATCATATCCAACCCACCCTGGTCCTTCTGCTGCCGCATTTCCCGCTATAAACATTCCAGTCGCAGCTCCGACAGTCCCCTCCCCGCATTTTGCGATTCATCGTCACTGGTGACCATTGCATGCTTCGAGCATTCCGCCGCTAGCTACAATGAGTTCATAACCCGTCCAGCTACACTATCCAGGCATACTACGACTTCATCGCTGCACCCACACCCCGCGACCAGCTGCTAATAATGGCGTCGCCACCTCAGGCTACGCTACCCCCGCCGCTGCCATGGGAACAGATCGCATCCGCGGTGCGGCCCGTCATCCGCTCCGTCGCAACTGTTTCCTCCGAAGCCGCCGCGATGCTTCCGGAGCTCTCAGAGGCGCTCCGCCAGTCCTCCTCCACATCCACGCGCCAAGCGGTCGCCGCCGTTCGCGCCGCAACCGACGCCGCGGCTTCCGCGACGAGTCGAATACGCCGCTCGGCTGTTGCCGCCGGTTCCAAATCCCTCGAATCTTTTACCGCTGCGGCCTCGAACCTCGTGAAACCGCCGACTGCGCCTCCCGTTCCGCTCCTCCCGCCTCTAACCACCAAGAGTCAGGATTCCAGTGGAGGTTCGGGATCAGCCTCGGAAACTCGTTCGGCGAATACCGTGAGCTTCGTTCGGATGGTACCTCGTAAGAACCCAACAGCGACGTCGAGGTCAGCAGCATCAGCAGCAGCAGAAACGGTATCGGAGTCCGCGCCTTCGTCCTTAGGATCCCCACCAGTGACCGCTGCCGATGCCATCTCGTATCTGCAATCCCCTTTTCAGCCGCCACGTCAGTTCGCGTCAGCGGCCACGTCAGCAGACGCTGCGCCAGCTCCTTCGGGTGTTGTTGGGCCGACCACTGAGTCCGAGAAAGCAGGAACAACCGGAGCAGTAGGAGCAGTTAAAGTTTCAGAAACAGCAGGAACAGCAGGAGCAGCAGAAGCAGCAGAAGCAGGAGGAGGTGGTGGTGTCAGCAGAGCATCTGTGGCAGCGTCGGGGACGAAAGTAACCAGAAGAGCAGCGAAGAAAGCTCGGGCAGGCGCGTCTGTGGAAACAACGGGAATGCCGCGAGCGACGGCGGCAGCCGCGACGAAAGGATTGACGGCAGCAGTGACTGCGGTAGCAGGAGGAGCAGCAGCGGAAGGAGTAGAATCAGCAGGAGCCGCTGTGACGAAGGAACCGGCACAACCGGGAACTTCTAAACCAGTCGCTGCGGCGGACACTCCCGCTGCTGCCACAGTTAACGCTGCTGCCACCGCCGCTGCTGCTGCCGCTCTCCCCACCTCCCCTTCCGCCGCCTCCCCGCCCCTGCCGTCACGGCAACTGTCGCAGCACCTGGACGCACGCGGAATAGGCGATACCACAAAAGCTGCAATAGAAGCAGCCCCCGGTATTGCAGCAGGAAGCGGTTCAGCCACAGCCTCCCATCCAACCCCTCACAATCCACACCACGGCACCCACCACCACAGTCATCACGAGCAGCACCGTCATG